AGAACCAGTGATGTGAGTGGTGATTATTGGAGGGTAGAGTGAGAGGGGGTTGGAAAGAGGGAGCCAATTACAAGGATCTATATGTGACCTCCTCCCTGGGGAACGGAAAACAGGAAAGTGGGTGAAGGGAGACATTGAACAAGACAAGATATGACAAAATAATAATTTATCAAAGGCTCATGAGGGAGGGGGGGAGAAGGGAGGGAGGGGAAAAATGAGGACCTGATGACGTGGACTTAAGTGGTGAGCAAATGTTTTGAGAATGCTGAGGGCAATGAATGTACAAATGTGCTTTACACAATTGATGTATGTATTGATTGTGATAAGAGTTGTATGAGCCCCTAATAAAGCAATTAAAAAAATAATATAATAGACACACAGCCACAGTTTATAGTTTATATCCAATTGGGGCCATATCTACATGTCTTTTTAAAAAGTTTTGTTGTTCTTTATAAAAATGTTGGGTTTGTTGGAAGACATTAAAACTTATATTTATAAAGGTAATTAGAACTTTGAATTGGTGATTCAGTGGTAGAATTTTCTCCTTCCATATGAGAGACTGTAGTAGAGACTTGTGTGTCCTTATGAAGTTCAACAGGTATCAGGAAACATTACAGGCCAAGATGAACTGGGGAGAAAGGTCTGGAGATCTGCTTCTGAAAATCAGCCAATAAAAAGCCCTGGGTCACAGCAATATAATGTGCTAACATTCATGGGAATAATGCAGGACTTAACAGCATTTCATTCCATTTTGCACAAAATTTCTCTGTAGCCTGAGAACAGCAAACAACAATGAAATATAGATGAAAAATAAAACTACACAAAAGCAAAATAAAAAAAAATCATTGCCACCTTAAAATCAGACTAATAGCAATCCTATAGGACCAAGTAAATCCATCCCACATGGTGCTTAAGGTCGTAAATGTCTGTGGAAGCAGACTGCCACAGCTTTCTCCTGTGGAGCAGCTCTTGGGTTCAAAACATCGCAATTAGCAGCGAAGAGTTTAACCACTATACCAGCAGGACTCTTCAACTATAAGCAGCCCCTCATTTTTGGTGCTGTTTCCCATCACATTGCTATAAATCATCATTGTTTCCTTGGTGATCCTGCTGAGGCTACAGCAGTCAAGCATCTTAACTCCTTTCTGAATCAGCAGAAGAAAGTTGGAGGGGGAAAAACCAACAACCAACTTCTTTTGTTTCAAATAAAACCGTCTTAGAAATGGCTTCAACTTAATCAGCCAAGCTTTTTGAAAACCCTTTTTATGCATATGTGAAAACATGAGAATATCTGAGTCCCCTTTCCACCACAAAGCACAAAATATAGAAAAAATAAAAAAGGAAAGTAAGAGGAACAGGTTCATAAACACCTGTTTGCCAAAACCTGCAAGTAGCCATTTTAATGCTGACCTCGGGCATTTAGATGTTGTAGAAGGTTGTTTTAGCAGATCCACTTAGATGCTAAATTTAGATTCCTGATGCCACCTCACTTCACACCGTCTTGCTTTACCCCTGGCTTTCTCCAACTTTAGCTGCTGTCAACTTCTTGTTCTGGTTGTTCCTGCCAAAAACTTGCCTTCTCAAAAAATGACTCTTTTACCCCACACATTACATTTACTCCATCAGAAAAACGTGTAGATTCTGGCTTCAAAATTCATTTTATGAAAATCCAGGAACTAAGATAGAGGGGTCAGGTTGGTTATGAATAATTATATGGATATCTACTACATATTAGATACATATATATGTTCCTAGATGTCAGTGAAGAGAGCCCTGAAAACGACATCAAGAAATCAATACCATTTAAAATAGCCACACAAAAGATGAAATAGTATACTTACCTGGCAGGGGAGATACTATGATCACGAAGGTGGTTTTCCCAGGACGAGGTTTATCCATTGCACTCTGGATGTGCCGTCCCCTGCAATTTCTCCAAATATGGGAAACTCAACTGCACAATTTGTGGGAGTGGGGGACAATGTTCGTGCTCTCCCCTGATTAAAAAAAAAGATGAAATATTAGACTATAAAGCTAAACAAAGAAACAAAGGATCTAAACAAAGAAAAATACAGAATATTATTACAAGAAACCAAAAGAAACCTCCAGAAATAGAAGCCTATCCTGTGTTCCTAGATAGGAAGACAATATTGTAAAAATGTCAATACTACCTAAAAACAAAACAAATCTCATTTCCATCAAATCAGTGCTGACTCAATGCAAACCAATAGGGCAAGTTAGCACCGACCCTGTGAGTTTTGGAGATGCTACCACTTTACAGAGGTAGGAATTCCCATCTGTCTTCAGCAGTGCCTGATGGTTTCGAACTGCTGACCTTGCGGTTACCGTAGATAATGGTATCAGGGCCCCTGATACTACATAAAGCAATCTACACATCTAAATCCCAATTTCATTCTTTTAGTAGATGCAAACCCAATTACCAACTTCATATGGAGAAGCAAGAGACTAGAATAAGAAAGTAACTTCCCCCAAAGAAGAATGTAGTAGTAGTTCTCACATTACCTAATCTCAAAACCTACTATGCCAACGGAGTAGTCAAAGCAGCCTGGTATTGGTACAGTGATAGAAACAGACCAATGAAACAGGATGGAAAACCCAGAAACAAAAGCATCCACTTACAGGCAAATTATTTTCCACGAAAAACAAAAATATTAAATGGAAAAGGGACATCCTCTTCAACAAATGGTGCTGTAAATATTGGATCTCCATCCGCAGAAGACTAAAAGAGGATCAATGTCTTTCCAATGAACAAAAATAAACTCCAGATGGATTAAAGACAGACATGTAACTCCGAGAGATAGTTGGATTATAAATGAGAAAATTGAACAACTTTACGCCCACTTCAGGTTATACACAGAATATCAAATATAATAAAGGAAGTACACACAGTGGAAGACAAGAAATATAACCAGGACCTTTAAAAAATAAAACAGTTATGCACATAAAAAGACTTTAAAGAGAAAAATGAGAGTCCACAGATTGGGGTGGGGGAAATATTTAGCAATGACACAGCAGACTAATTACTAAAATCTATAGAATTTTTCAAAAGCTCAACAAGAAAATACCCAACTAATCCAATTAAAAGGTAAGCAAAAGACAAGAATAGATAATTCACAGGGGACAACACTTCAATTCAAGGAACACCTAAGGAAATTCTCACCAACCATGTGGCAGATGCAAATCAAAACAATGATTAAATTTTACCTTACCTCAGCACAGAGATTAAGAAGATAAATAAGTATGGTGAGAGGATCCAACCCTGTCGCTCACCTTCCTTAATTTTAAAACATGCACTATTCCCTTGATCTCTTCACCCAGCTGCCTCTTGATCCATGGACAGGTTCTACATGAGCACAATGTAGTGTTCTGGGATTCCCATTCTTCTCAAGGCTGTCTGTAGCTTTTTTATGATCCACGCAGGTGTACGCCTTGGCGAAATCAATTTTTAAAAAGTAAACACTTTTCTGTTATTTTCTGCTTTCTGACAGGATCCACTGATGTCAGCAATGATTTCCCTTGTCATATATCCACTTCTGAATCCATCCAGAATTTCTTGCAGCTCCCTATTAATGTACTGCTGCAATCATTGTTGAATGATCTTCAGAAATTTTATTTGCATGTGATATCAACAATAATTTGATATCAATCAATCACATTGAGTGTGATATCAATAATAATTTGAGCATTCTGCTGGATCACCTCTCTTTGGATTGGACATAAATATGGATATCTTCCTTTCCGTTGTCCAAGTAGCTCTCTTCCAAATATCCTAAATGAGTGTTTCCAGGGCTTCATTAGCTTGTTGAAACATTTCAACTGATATGCTATCATTTCTGGAGTCTTCTTTTGGGCTACTTTTTTCAGTGCAGGTTGAGTTTCTTTCTTCAGTACCATTGATTTTTGCTTACATTGCTTATATGATGCCTCCGGATATGGTGGAATATTGACTAGTTCTTTTTGGTATATTGAAGCTGTCTAGTCTTTGAATCTTCTTTTCATGATTCCTGCCCATAGAATCTTTCAATACTGCAATTTGAGCCTTGAGTTTTTTCTTGAGTTCTTTCAGTTTATGCGACACAATGTGCTCCTTCTCTTTGTGGTTTTCAAACTCTAGTGCTGTGCACATTTCATTATAAAAATTCACTTTGTCTTCTTGGGTTACCCTTTGAAATTTTCTATTCAGGTCCTCCACTTCATCATTTCTTCTATTTACCTCAACCGTTCTATGGTAAGGACAAGTTGAAGAATCTCTTGAGATCCATTTTGATGTTTCCTTTCTTTCTTGTTTTTTTAATGATCTTTTTCTTTCTTCATGAAAAATATTTTTTATGTTTTCCCACAGCTCATTAGCTCTTCAGTCATTAGTGTTCACTGCAGAAAAACTATTCTAAACATGTCCTTGAAATTTATGTGCGATATACTCAAGTTGTATTTTGGATCTTATGGATTTGTTGTAATTCTCTTTACATTTAATTTGAACATATATATGAGTATTGGTAGTCTGTTTCACAGTCAGCCCCAGGGCTGGTTTTCGCTGCTCATCTTGAACTTCTCTATCATCTTTGTATGCTGAGGACCTGGACTATAAGAACAACAGATATCATGAAAGTAGGAAGGCTCATTAACAGGTTGCAATATACACATGGCACCACCTTGCTTGTTAAAAGAAGATTTTTAGCGCATGTTAATGGAAATCAAAGAGTACAGCCTTTAATATGAATTACAACTCAATATAAAGAAAAAAATCCTCACAATCCTAACAAGAAACCACATCATGACAAATGGATAAATATTGACGCTTACAGGGTTTCATTTTACATTTTAGTTAGATCCACAATGTTCAGTAAAGCAGTAGCTCAAAAATCAAATCAAGTATTGCATTAGGCTGATATGTTGCAAAAGCTCAATTTAAGTTGTTAAAGATAAAAGATGCCAGTTTGAAGACTCAGGTGCACCTGACTCATGACATGATAATTCAATAGTGTCATATACATGTGAACGCTAGACAAAGAATAAGGAAGACATCTCTTTTAAACCATCCATCTTCTACAATTCAATTTTTCATTTCCACAGGTCATTACTAAAAACCAAACTCAAACCTAGCTCTTTAGTTCACTCCATCGTATAAAATGGAATCGAAAAATTGAGCTGTAGGGGTACAAAGCAAAATATGTTTGAAGACTATGAATTATGCTGTTGGTGAAGAATATTGAATATACCATGGACTGTCAGAGGAAAAAGCAATTCTGTGCTAGAGGACATACAACAAGAATACTCATTAGAAATAAGGATAGGAAGACTTTGTCTCTGCACTTTGAAGATGTCATCAGAAGAAACCTACCTGCTTGTTAAAGTAGAGGGGCAGGGAAGAGGGAGACCTTCAATAGGATGGACTGAAGTCACTTCAAAAGTCACTGCAAAAGTGGACTTACATATAACAACAATTGTGATGATGGCACACCACTAGACAGTGCTTTGTTTTTGACTTTTTGTAGTTTACATAAGGTACTTTGAGTTTCAACTGACTTGAAGGCAGCTAACAACAACAATGTTCAAAAAACGTATTCTTGTCTTTCTAATATTGTTTCCCAATTAGTTTGAAAATAAGATAAAATGTCTACCCATCCCACGCACCCCAAATAGAAGGTTAATTACTAGCTGTTATATTAAATATGATTGCTATCGTTAGGTATAGCCCATCAATTCTATCTTCCTTCTTCTGTCTCCCTTTATTTTCTATGCCTTATAATCTCTTTTAATATCTCAACAATGATTGGCTTGAAGCCCATTTTACACTGATATAGCCTCCTTACTTTAACAAAGAACGCTTTATTTATTTATTTTTATTTTCAGCTTTGGATGTTTGGATTTATTTTTGATACCCCCCCCCCCAAAAAAAAAAAAGATACTTAGATCATAGCAATGCTAATCTAAGTTTACTCCACAATGCCACAAATAAGCAACCCCCTTGTAGTTTATGAAGATCTGTTTACCATCCTCCAAAAGGCCGCCCTCAGGGTCCTTATGGTCCCTGAGTCAGAGCATCATGCATTTCCCTCTGAGACGCTCCATTTAAAGTTACGGCCATACGTCCAAGGGCACAATCGTCTCTTCTCTGCACTGGGACCTCGCTCATCAAGACCAGGGAGCTAGTGACAGGTGTGGGCAGGCAGGCAGGCCCTGTCCCAGGCCCAAGGAACCCGTATCTGCAGCACGAAGGCAGCTCCAGGTAAATCTTGCAGATACCCCGTCTCTTGAAAACATAGGCTCTGGTTCAGGACATCCAGGGGAAGTAATGTGAATTCCCAGGCGGCAGGTGTAACTGGGAAACAAACCAGCAGGAAGCCTTGCTTGAAGAAGGTCCCAGGTGGTCCTGATGCCCGGAACCGCCTGCGGGTTCAAGTTTCAGAGCACAGTTCCAGATTTCGCTGCAGGACAATCATCTGGGAAACATACTGTGTCCTAAGGCCGGGCCACCACGAACCACGCTGGTTAGAGCTGAAATTCTCAAAGTGGGGGCTGAGAACCCATTGTATGTTAAATTCCACAGGTGGTTTCGATGTGTGCTGAAGTTTGACAAGCTGTCCAGAGGAGCTCGGTGGGGCGGTTCTACACTGTCCCGGTAGGGTGCCCATGGGCGGAAACAGACTTGTTGGCGACAGGTCTGGGTACAAGAAGTACTTGCAAGGGCCAGTGTCCAAGAGTAAAAACAAAAGACCACGGCCAGGGTGTCCAACCCGTGTAGGGTTTCTGGGATCGTCCATCTTTCCTGGAGAGGACAGCTTTGTCTTTCTTCCCTAGGGTGGCTGGTGGGTTTGAACAGCCAACCTGGTGGTTAAGATTACTGGTTAGCTCTGCCACCAGGGCTCCGGTGTAGCACAGTAAAACAAAGAAGTCTGGGAAGTGGAATTCATTGCACTGGCGCTGCATTCATCGAAGCAAGGGATTTTGTAAGCGAAGGAAGGTGGTGAAACTTGCG